AGTAAATGCCTGCCATTTACTGCGCCATTGCTTATTGTTTGAAGTATCTTTCTTGATACATAAAAATTATTAGTACTATGTGTCGTTTTAGCCCTGATGTAAATATGCAACAGCAAGAGATTGGGTAATTGATCAACCCGCCATAGTCTATCATAACATGCACATGATATCACACAAAGCCTATCACATCCGAGACGTTTTACCGCTAAACATTGAAAATAAAAAATTTATTTGTAAATTTGTCATTGTACTATGAAATCTGAAAAGCACAATTGTTGATGAATTTGGAATTGTACAATATACAAATTTGTAAAAGTTAAAAAAAAAAATCAGGTAATTTATGTAATTTATTTAAAATTACCGAAACTTCGATGAAAGATCATGGTGAAGCCGAAATCCGAAAGTTTTCTGTATACGACAATAAAAAGATATTCTTCTATTTCCTAAAAGCTGCCTTTTTGGTGAATGAATGGTGCCTTATTGTAAAATTGCCATTTATGCTGTGTCATGATCTTTTCTTTTTTTGCTGATTATTCCCCTTTTTAAGGTTTTGGTTTAATGTAATTTCATGCTATTATGCTAAGATAGCTATCCATTGTTTCCCTTTCTTTCATATAAGCTATTTTGTTATAAATACCTATTATGTGCAACAATATCTAATAAGGAAACACCGCCTGCTTTTGAATTTGGTCAAAGATATTGCAGATAAGCCAGATTTTCATCTTTTACTATATATTTTTTTTTAACAAAGAGTTTTTTTCTCAAAAGATCGTCAATCATCATCATTTCCACTTTCAGCAAAGAATGCATTGCTCCGACATATAAAGACTGAGATCACTCTCCGTGTTGTGCAGCTCCCCAAAATCTTTTTTTTTTAAAAAAAAAAAAAAAAAAAATTTAAATAAAAAAATTTCTTTAAAAAAAATATATATATACACATATATAACTGATAAGATACAACACTTTTTTTTTAAAACGATTATATATATATAACGAAACAAAAATTTAAAATATTATTAATAACTTTATAAAAAAAAAAAATGTCATTTTATTGTTTTGAAACGAGACAGGACCGAACTCTTGCACCGTATCCACCTCCAGAGTGTAGCCAACAACTTGACCGGATGTCTCCGTCAGAAATAGTGGACCATATAATCGCAACGAATATTGACCCATCAACACTAGTAAAAATTGAAAAACAAATTGCAGTACCGCTTCGTCAACTAATTTCACCAAGAGAAAATCGACGTAGACGATGTATTCCGAGACCTCAAAATAATTTTGTATTATACAGAAGAAATTTTCATGCAGTAATTACCAAAGAACGAGGTCATGCAGTAGCAAAGAATTTTAAACTTATTTCAAATGAAGCGGCTAAAAATTGGTCAGAAGAAAGTAATGAAGTCAAACAACTTTATGAATTAATAGCGGATTGCGCAAAAAAAGTTCATGACTGTACCTATCCACAATATGTTTATCAACCAAAACATAAATCTTCAAAGAAAGGAAATAATACGATTTTTAGAGAAGTTACTATGGACACTTGTAAACAACGATCAGAGAAATCTAAATCCGATCGTAATTCAAAAACAGAAAAA